ACGCCCAAATCGAAAAAATATTATCAGATTCGGGCTCAGCGCGTCAAGGCGGTTCAGAATATGTAACTTTAAAAGAAAAATAAATTTCACTCCGATTTCGAATTAACGGCGCCTTACTTTTTATTACTTTCTTCTTATCAGTAATAAGTAAAGGAATAAAGCATTATTGCTTAAAAAAACTAATAAACTAATAAGATTCATTAATTGTTTCGAGGTAATAACTAATATGTTTTCTTACTTATCACTTGGTAAAGAACAGTAAAGTGACACCCCTATTGAATATGATGCTATGCATCAAAGTAGAATCAATACGTATGTTCCGATGTCTCGTCTTTCTGATACAAAAAACAATTTTACTACAGTCTACCGAAAAAAGGAAAAGTTGCACCTTTTCGAATTGTCAGTGGAATGGAAATTGAGCTATCGTTTTCGATAATAGTGTAAATATTGTTTAAAGTCATTTCTAAATTTTTTCGATGCAGCAAACCAAACGAAAAACGTTGAACATGCATTTAGGACAATCAAATAAGGCCGAGCAATGTAAGTAATGAATGTTTCAATTTGTTGACGTTCAACAGATTTTTGTACATGACTGGTTACTGTTTGATATAGATCATTTGTGGGAAATAAAAATGTTGATATTAGATAAGCAATTATTTCAGCTAATAACATAACAACTAATTGGGAATCACGTTTTTTCGTATGACGTTGCTGTTTTTGTTGTTGAAATCTTACAACTAGATTTTCAACAGTTAGAAAAAAACGGGTCAGAAACGTGTGTTAGAGCTTACTCCTTCGATGATGATGAGAACAGTTTACGATATTACATCATCTCTAGCCACTAGCGGGCGTGAGGCGGCATATAGCCATTGTAAGCCTATAACCTAACGAGTGGCACATAAAAATGAGCTAGTTTTGCTTGCTCTTCTAGACGTGTTCACAGAAGAAGAAAAATTTCGCTTCCATCCAAAAAGACGCGGAATGTTTTCTGGTTTAAAATATGTAAGAGTCCACAGTAATAATTTGCAGCTCAACTGCGGTATTCGAAATACTCAAAGATAGCACAGATTTTAATTGCACTCACAGGAACCGTCTCGTGTTTCTTCAGTTTTTAACACTTTTTCTCGCATCGAAAGAACTTCGAAGTACGCAACCTTGTTCAACTATTTTCGCTATTTTCAGCGGAATTTGTTCCAAAACAATCTGGTTCAAAATTTGGCTGAACAATTTGAAATAGAAAAGACGGCATTATTTTCCTGAATTTTGCGTTGTACACCAGATATAACCTATCCTGGGCAGAGTTATTTTTTAAGGCTCTACTTTAGTTTAATGCTGCAACTTTAAAACTCTAGAGGACCTTGCTATTTTTTGTTCGGTTGGAAATAAATCCAAAAAAACAAGTATTACTACAGATGAATGCTATGTTTTTTGCATTTTAAATTTTTTCACCGATTTTCGATATTTTATAAATCCGTTTTGAGATCAAAAGACGTAGAATTTTGTCTAGGTTTTAAACATTTACTCAGAATTCTATGTTGAGTAAATATCGTATTACCCAAATGTCCCACTTTTTTTCGAAAAGCTTAAGTTTGCGAGGAAACCAAGCTCATCACATAAGTTCAATAGAACAGAATGAAACAGTTTTGTACATACACTGCTGACCATTTGTCGCATTTATTGTGCTATCAGCGGCGGCAGTGGTAGTAATTCCATCATCATTTTGTAAATCATTCATTTCTTTTTTTCTCCGATACATTTGTTTTAAATTTTTCAGTGATAACAGACTGAAAATAATCATCAATATCGGTGGTATGAGACCAGCAAAGATTTGAAGATAAATTGCGTACAACAATGAATACAAACCATATTGACCACATTTTTTTGAAATATTGGTAAGTGTACAGGTAATATAAACCATAAACAAGTCATTAGAACTATCATACGTTTAGCTACATATGTTGTACTAAATTTTCGTCTTTGAACGTTTGTTGATGACATTGTATAACGATCAATGCATGCCAAACAAACAAAATATCTTGACAACATTAAAAATATTTGTGATAAATACAAACGTAATTTACAATACATGATCGAATACGTTGTTGGATCATTATCTGAAAATGCGGTGTATAGTACTGGAATAATAACTGTATTAATAATAAATAAATTTGAAACTGACGTGGCCAAAAAGTATAGACAACATGAGTTTTGTCGATAAGATCGATGGAGAAAAATAAAACAACTGGCAAAATTACCCATGTTGCCGATCACCAAGAAGACAGGCATACAATAAATTGTTAATTGTTGTTGTATGTAAACTAATGATGACATTTTGATGATGATACTGTTCTTCTACTACTCTGAAAATTTCAGAAAAAAACTATTTTTTCAAAAACCAAATGCATACTGAAGTTTTATTTCATCAATCAGTTCTCAGGTAGTTGTGTACAGATACATTCCGATTTTTTTTCACAAAAAAAATGCAGATGTGTCCTCTCAAGTTGACGTCTCCAGAAAAAAGTATTTTCCTATTAAACATTTGTCTCGCTTTATGGGTTCCTGTTTTTTAATTGAATGAATGAATAAATGTGCCAAAAAATTACATGCATCAATTTTAAATTAGATAGGCAGTTAACTGATTAAAAAGTTTAGAAATTATATTTTTGAAAGTGATACCCTTGAGAATTTTTATGTTTATTAAAAGTCAAGTCCGATAACGTCTAGATTCTTTATTTAAAGATAAAAGTAAGTTATGCTGTAGTTTCAGGATTATATAATAACAAGCCTTCATACAGTTTGTTCTGAAAAGAATGAATTTTGTGATATAAGAAAAAAATAATGATACGTAATGAACTTTATTTTCTAATATACATGACTGAAATTGAAATTTTACATGACTGAAATACTTCTGATAAATGCTTCGATCAACGCCATTTAATATTCATTTAACTAACGTTTCATAATGACACAGCTGAAAATGAATAATGAAAGTCATACTCTTTACGATTTCAGCAGTATTTTTCGATCATTTCGGAATAACATACATATAGACGGTTTGTATTTTGTCATATAATAGTGGTCGACTTGTTAGCACGTTGTATACATGTTTTGAACCGGCACAATAGAAAGAGATGGGCGGAGATGTGTACACGAGAATTTAAACGTGTTTCAAATTAACTTCATTAGTAAAAATGCTCAACAAGGATGGTAGAAAGAGCTGGACCAGAGAAAAAGAAAGGGCGATCTTGTTGAAGGAGAGAGTGAAACTGTTTGCATGCAAATAAAGATCATATCAAGTGGAAATTAAAAGTCGACTTTCTTAGCGTGAGAAGGAATAAGCTCTAACTTTGCAAAAAACTTTGTTTATTCTTCTAGATAATAATAATGTTTGAATAAAGTGTCGGGGTCGTTTCGTTTTCAAAACGCCAACAGATAGATGGAGGCGTTCTGAAAACGAAACGACCCCGACACTTTATTCAAACATTATCTAGAAGAATAAACAAAGTTTTTGCAAAGTTAGAGCTCATTCCTTCTCACGCTAAGAAAGTCGACTTTTAATTTCCACTTCATATGTGTGTTTCAGAGAGAGTAGAATTTTGCCAAAAATTGAAGATAATTTTCAAAATCGGCCAAAATCAATTATTTTTTGAAGCTTGGTTTATCTTATCTTAGAGCAAAATAATTCGTCTGTTACACTCGAACAGGAAGTTCGATAGCTCAATTTCCATTCCACTGACAATTCGAAAAGGTGCAAATTTTCCTTTTTTCAGTAGACTGTAGTAAAATTGTTTTTTGTATCAGAAAGACGAGACATCGGAACATACGTATTGATTCTACTTTGATGCATAGCATCATATTCAAATTAATATCTTTTTGTTGAGCTTGTGTTTGAAAGTAATGAAAATTGAAGCTTTGCCGTATTTCGCCTATATTCTTTTATTTCTACGCTATATTAAAAAAGGTTCACTATGTTTTTTGTAGAAAATGAAACGACAATCTTTTAAAAAAGGGTTAAAGCCTGGAGAATGAAAATTGAGCAAGATTTTAACGAATTACTGAGATCGTCATTTATTCTGGTGCACCTGTTATTTCAACCCTTTCAGTACCAAAGTAACTTAAAAACGCTCTAAAAGATCGAACAGGTACGCGCTAGGATTAGAATTTTACCCTCATTCTGAATGTGTTTTGAACAAAGTTATAGAGTCACTCTTTGAAATTTCTTTTGCTTTGCTGAGATATTAAATTTTAAAACGATGGATTTATACGAACAATTGATCGGTAAAGATGGCTCGATAGTCAGAAAACCGAACGATTATTCGACTAGAACAGGTCTATTTCATCAAGCGATCATCATAGTATAACACTAACTTATCAATACATCAATACAACACATTGGTTTCTGAATATCATTTATCGAAGCTGGTATTTTCACTTGGGTGGTAAAAGGAGAAAAGAATCAAGAGAAGTTAAAAACTTCTGAAGAATCATTTCTCAAAGCATTGGAAAATGAAACCGGTCTTAAACTAGAGCAATGTGATGGTATAGGCAACACAGGAACCTCAACTACGGGACAGCAAGAAGACGTTTCTTTAGCTCTGAACTACGTGGAAAAGTCGTGTCATTGATTCCATCAAAATATCAAGGAACATTGGGTATGACATTGAGGCTCTTTTTGAGAGCAGTTTCTATATAGTACTCGAACTGTGAATGTTAAACGACTTCGAGAGAAAATAACTGAATTGACACTGTTGGTAGCAAATGAGCTTCAGATCGTCGAATATAATCTAACTGCTCACCATCTAGAATAACGTCCGGACTACCTCCACATGCAAAAAAATGATTAGCTTTGTATGTTACTTTTCTGAGAACGTAGCTGGTTTTCCAAAAATCCTCTGTAAAGCCGGACTTCCAGAAAATTTTGAAACAAGTCTCTGCTTACAAAAAACATGCATTAGGGTCTCAGCAACACGATGGTGAAAAACGCAGGTCGCTATCTATCAGTGTGATTGAGTTATTCCAAAAGTAAGCGCGGGCCTTGTACTTTGGGACGGATAGTAAGTTAGTCTCGATTTTTAATCGGTTAACGGAAACTGATATAACCGAAAACAATTTTTCGACTTGCACAATCTTCAGCGAGTCAGCACAAACGTTGAACTGAAGTGCCTTTGTAACCCTAACTATTCCCTAAACTCTTTTGAATTGCAAGATGGCAATAAGGATCCCAGTGGCGGAGTGTTGGTTCTTTCCAACATATATTGAGTGATTTTTATTTTGATACGTACATTTGCAAGAAAATACAGAATGAAACATGAGCCATTGTTCACTGCCGAAAGAAACGACATAGAGGCATTTGTTCGGTTCTAATTCTGCATAAAATAAAGAACTGCTTGTACTATACATATGCGGTTTATTTCAATGCTTCTGCAATTGCTTTGGTTCCTTCAGACGATATATTATTGTTTCCAATATCAATGCTTGTTAATGTTGTGTTTATTTTCAGTGCTTCTGCATAAACTATGATAAAACTATGATATGTATCAATTTTGACTTTATGATTGATACCTGTTCTGCAGTCAAATAGTAGTAGGATAATTGTTTAAATAGTTGCTTTTCATATATATTATCTTTCAATCTATTCACTTGATATTTGATTATTCTCAGTAGATCAATATGATGTAAACGAACAAACTCTTGTAATCTGTGATCAGTTATTTCCAAAGACGACAATATGGATGGACACAATGATGATTGTGTATACTACTGTTCGATCCAATAGTAATACTTTTAATGTCATTATATTCTGCTTTTTCGACAATTTCCTTTTCTTTCTCGAATAAATTCAAAAAGCGTGGCTCATTGAATATATCTGAATAACGTTGATTTTTCTTTGCTTCATCGTCACAGTGTTGCTTTGCCATCACAATGATATTGAATGGAAGCGTGGCACCTTTGGGAGCTGAAGTGCAACTCACTGTTCTCTTTCAACAAAATGAAGGCTTATCAACATATTTATCGACAGTTGTCGTTCTTTCATTTTGTGTATTTGATGCAAACACCTGAAAGTATTCATGATGAAAACAATTCAAAACAGAAATAGAAAGGTTACATGTATGCAGTCGACTTTCCCACTAGAGAAAAGTTTCGTAAGCATTGCGATAACTCACAGAAAAAGAAAATCTTGCGAAACTCTTTCTAAACACGCGAGGAAATGAGAAATTACTCTGAAACCCATGCGAATTATCTTTTTCGAATAAAGGACTATATTTCATATCGGTCATAGCGTTTTCTCCTTTTCTTGAGAGTTCCTGCAAGATGAACAAAAGAATTTGTATTTGTATACTCTCAGACAGTTTCTTTGTGTGTTTCAGACTTCGTACACGGCAAGAAAACCGTCCAAAAGTTGACGCTTTTTAGTGGACGGTTTTTTCACACATCTTGGCATGCTTTTTTGCTAGACGTTCTTTTCTGGACGTATTTTTTCGTATGTTTTTTTTGCTACATAAAGGGAAGAAGTTAGTCTTAGCTGTCAATGGATAGAGAACTTCAAGGGCTACAATTCTGCATATTCAGTTCGCCACGACTAAACAATTTGATTTATTATCGGCGAAATATTCCTTTTTTTAGTTAAATTTTTCACGTTCTCGAGGTACGTCACATTTTGTTCAGCTGAAACAACGTCCCAAAGATCTGGCTTGTCGTTTATATGCCATTTTGTAGAGAATTGAACGAGGAATCTTTTGGTAGTAGAATCAGTTC